CCTTTTCATATTTACCTATGGTTTAACAGCAAGAGGAGCCTAGCTAATCCCTGCTGAATGAAAGAATGATTAGCTCTTGTAGCCTTCACACATACCTAATCTGCGAACAGATAATGAAATTCAGCCACCTAACGGCATCCCTGCATGCTGCATGGCATTAGGAATCCTCTTGTCATGTTCCAGCACTACACAGCAAAACCACACAACATTCCCAAAGGAACATAACCTCCCAAGATGTTTCATTTTTCCTGCAGCTAAATGGAATTGACAGTCCTCCTTCTCCTCATGCTGGCCCAGACAAAAGTTCTACCAAACTGCCTTCTAAAAAGAGTTGAATTAATAATTCTAGCATTACAATTTGTAATTCTAGTTAAGAGCTCACACAGGTGAAATCTGAGATACCTTCTACCATCCAAATATCATTGTTATAAAAGCCAACAGAACCTAATAAACGCTCCACAGAAAGTCCTGTTTTCCAAATCAGTTTTTAAAAAACACTCTGATTCTGAGATACTTTAATTCATGTCAAACACTATTTTGAGTATTTAACAGCTATGCAATGCAGTACTTAAACAAATAGCTTGATAAAAGCAAACATGTTGCTGAAAGCAAAGCCAAGAAAGTTTGCTAGCTTTTGATCTCCATGACTTAAAAGTGAATTTAAGAAACACGGTATTGATTTCCTAACATTTACAAACACCACATTTGCTGGCTAGCAGCCCTAGATTGTGGTCCACTGATTTAAATTTCTTGGCCTAAATATCAGTGCTAGAGAACCTTTCACTTTCTAGTTTGAGATTACAACTTCAGAGTTAGAGTTGCCACCTCTCACCAAGGCCAAGCACAGTGCTGGGGGGAGAAGGAAAAAGAAGGAAAAAATGACTTATTTAGCACAATTGGAATTAAACTCAGGGAAACAAAAATTGTCCACATTATCCAAAACAGAAAAGGCAGCTTTCCAAGTGAATGTGAGATCAGTATCACACGAACAATTGCACAAGTAATAGAAAGAAAACAAATATGGGAAGAGAAGCTTGGAATAAAAAGGTTACTATTAAAAAAAAAAAAAAGTGTAAACTGGAAAAAGGGAAAAAAGATTCAGCAAACATTTAAAAAAACGCATAAGCCTTTGAACAGCCATTTTGAATCATGTTATTACAACAGGGCCTGAGCAATGCCATTTTATTATGGAATCTATTAGAAAGTAAATTGTGTGGCAAGAGAAAAACAGGAAATTAATGGAACCTGCTTGAATATAACGTATCTTTAGGAAAAAGGCAGGAGGACAGATCCCAGCCAAAAGACCACAATAATCTGAGTTTAACTTCTCAGAAGGATCCAAGTATAGCACCACAATGACCACTTTACCAATTATGATACTAGGGAGAGAAAACCCTCTGTAACCTGGCATGATAGAGCAGGGAGGAGCGCTCTAACCTCATGAAGCTCACTAAGATTTCCGAAGTGATAAATTGCAAGAAGATGTCAGCCACTTCCCAGTTTTGCTTCCTGGCAGTTACACAGTGGTGCTGTGGGCTCTGCTGGGCTCACCTTCCCTTTGGTCTTCTGGCCAAAGCACAAAGAAAAAGGCACTGCAGCACATCAGTACCATTTACACTGTTTCATTCTGGTAGTGCCTTACCTGATAGCTTTGTGTAAAAAGATCTTAGGGTTTCAGGGCTCTTTTTCTTCCTCTTTTCTCCTTCAATTAGCCCCAAACAATTACTGTATTTTCACTGCCACTGAAAAGTGTTACAGCTCCCTCTTAAAACTAGACTCTTACCTTCAAAGAACTGCTGCAAGGCCTCATTTTCCCCCACCACATCCATAAAAAGCCAGTAGAAGTGTTTTGCTTTTCTGCTGCTTGAAGAGTTTCACTGAGGAAAATGCACCGTCTCTCTTCCAAGCGGTTATGAACAAGCTAAGGAACACATCGTGGTTTTGTCTGAGGTTTCAATGACTTTGTCCCAGCAGATTCCACTCCTTGAGCCAGGGCTATACTTAAACTCTCCTGTATGTGAAGGAGAATCTGACAAGGCTCCTGAGGCAAGATGAAGGTGATGTACGTTCTTCGTTCAGTATGTCTAACGTTCTTGTTTTAAGACCTTTGGTCCCAGTACTAACTATAATTACACATGCGCAAAATATACAGCAATAAAAGTTACTTGTCTCTGTACTTTCACACAGGTGATGTAATTAATGTTACTGATGAAAGCAACAGCGATCAAAATTGCACGAGCAAAGCCAGCATCAGTTTCACCATGTGTACTATATCCCATTTAAGCAGGTGAGCATCAAACTATCCAACTGCCCTAAAAAAATTTGTTTCTCACGGTAGTTTGATTACAGGGAAGTAGAATTTCTACATCATTATTATTAACAAAACTAAGTTACAGATTAACCTGTTTGTCTAAGGTAACACTGAAAAACATACGGAAAAGCTGAAATTTTAACAAAGGTCTTTTGCAGTAAGTAGCAAACCCCATTTCACTTCCGTTAAATTGATCTTCGTACACTGAAAATTGCCTGTTCTGTCACCCCTAAGTAAACAGGAGGAAAATATTTAGACATTTTGAGTGGACATCTTTAAAGAGAGGCATTTGACTATGAACAAAACCTTCACTGAAGTCAAGAAGTCTCAAATCATAGTTCTAACCAACCTGCCACAAGGGGACTTCCAACAAAGCCATTTCTGAAGCCATTTCTAAAGTAATTTTCTGAAGTAGTTATAGTCCCAGACAAGTAACAGCTATGCATTTTTTCCAAGCCCCAGGCACTCACAGTGACAGAGGTTCTCATGATAGGCAGCTTTATATTAAAAATATACAAAGTAATTTCGGGGAAGGGACTTAAGACAGTCATTACCACTGAGATACATTGGGTATATCTTTGTAGTACAAGAAAATCACCTCAGCATAATAAACTTCAGATACCATTTATGTCTTGACACTATCATGTCTAGAAAGGATCCTTCTCTGCTTGAAGGAACAACGCTTGTAATGTATTATTAAGAAGAACAATAGCTACCAGCTAGCATTCACCTGCAGTTAAGCTAATCTTGGAAACAGTTCAATCTTATTACATAAATAGATTAACAATCATTTAGAAAGCATTTGAGCCTAATGCAAGACATAATACCAACAAATACATTTGTTTTTTAAGTCTGCAAAACCAGGCATTACTGAAAGAATAAACCACACTTTCACAGTTTAAGGTAGGTTTCTACAACAGGAAGTAGCACCCAGTGATAGGAAACTGATAGAAGTATTTCAGGAGTACTGAAGTAGCCCAGGCTGGACATACTCCTTTATTAGTAAAATACTTCAGTTCAGTTGTTTGCAAAATGTTTTCAGGCACATACACATACAAGCAACACAAGGATGGTATTAAATCTCACCGCTCATTCTGTGTACTTCTGTCAAACAGAGAACACACCAGTAAGACAGTGATGAGTAGTGTTGGTTTTGTTCAGCATCAAACAAAAAAAATCTGCATCAAGATGCTTCTTGTTAGAAGAACCAGCTACATAAACTTGCCTTTATTTCTCCTGTTTGTCAGGTTACCTGCCAATACTTTAATCTTACCTGTAATTGATAAATGTCATGATCAAGACCTTGTTTTTTTTTCCCAAAAGGGCTTTTACACAGCATAACTAGCCCATGCCCACAACCACCTTTTTTGTAATAGGGTCAACTGTTTGCTTTCAGCTTAGAAAATGCCGAGGGAAAATGGACCCCTTGAACATCAGGCGCCAAAGTAGCACTTCAGCAGAAAAAGCATCTTCCTTAAGAAGATATGATCGCTTTTTTATTCTCTTCATAGCAAAGTGTGTGTGTTTGTGAAGCAACTGGTAACATTCTATGGAAATCGTCATCAACATGTTAAAGAAATCACATAATTGATCTTTTCCAGTGTCAAGAACAGCTGTGGGATTTGACATATAAACCACTGGCAACTGAATAGCCAAATAAAGCAGGAGGGATAAAAAAAAAACCAAAACAAAAAGTAATTTAAAGGAATGAAAAAACTCCAATGAAAGAAAGTTAGAGGTGACGAGACAGTTTTCAAAAGTCAGAGCAGGACAAGACAGATATCTAAACAAAGAATGAGCAAGGTAATTTTATTGTTTCTTAATGTTTGAAAAGCACACTGCTTCAGAAAGAAGATACCCAATTTATTGTGCTGTTGAGTCTTCACTATGTCTGTTTCTTTTTTTTACACTGTTTTAAAATTGAAATTCACAGGAGGTGATCCTGCCTCTCTGCTCTGCTCTCATGAGAGCCCACTTAGTCAACAGTTCTGGTGCCCTCAGCATAAGGACATGGAGCTGTTGGAGCAAGTCCAGAGGGCCACAGGGATAAGGGAGCTCAAGCACCTCCCATATAAAGACAAAAAATTGGGTCTGTTCAGCCTGGATGGTAACCTCATAGCAGCCTTTCAATATCTGATATCCAATACAAGGATATCAGAGAGACTCTTCATCAGGGACTGTAGTGATAGAAGGGGTAATGGGTTTAAACTTAAATGGGGGAAGCTTAGGTTAGGTTAGGCTAGATACAAGTAAGAAGTTCTTTACTGTGAGGGTGGTGAGGCACTGGAACAGGTTGCCCAAAGAAGTGGTGAATGCTCCATCCCTGGCAGTGTTCAAGGCCAGGTTGGACAGAGCCTTGGGTGACATGGTCTAGTGTGAGATGTCCCTGCCCATGGGAGGGGGGTTGGAACTAGATGATCTTAAGGTCCTCTCCATCCCTAACCATTCTATGATTCTATGAAAAATACAGGAAAACAGCACTTCAAAGAATTCCAGATTCTCCTAATTGTCTGTTAACTGTACTGACATACAAGCATAGAGAGACATACATGTATTTAAACATTACAGTAAACAAAATGTCAGGTATTTATTCCTTCTTCACAAAATCATCTCAGTTTCACACTTTGGAATGACATATGAGGGAGGTTCCCATCATTCTGCATCACAAAGAACAGAAGACATACACTGCTTCAGACTAACACTTTAATCAGAAGTTCTGTTTTTAAATGTAAATTACAATCACTAATACACCTGCAAGTGCTTACCACATTTGTTCAACTAAGTATTATATGTATGCATATACAGCATAAGTCAGTTTAAAACAATCAAAGTACTTCTTAGTGCCATCTGCAAAAGGATAAAGATCTTGGACCCACTTTGTGGAAATAAATATCAAGTGACAAAAAGAAAGATTCAGCAATTTTAGTTATATATATTCAATGAAGTTCATGCATGCGCAAGAGTAAAAAGATTTAGAGCTCTTCCTTGTAATAGCCAAGTTTTGCTAGTGACATCTCTCTTCTCAGCTGCATAACTTCCCAGAACATCTGATCCACTAAAAAAAGACAGAAATATCATTAAATATACTGAATTCATGTTTCATCTCAACTGACACATACAGCTGCCTTACTGTACATTAGTTCAGGGGAACTTCAGAAGCAGCAAACATCTAGTAAAAGCAGAACCAATACATGAGGGCTCTTTGTGCTTCATTCTGACAAAACTGGCTGAAGTGTTCACTTTAAAAATTCTAAATGATAGTCCTACAAGGAATTCCCCAAAATTTAGATTATTTCTTTTCAAACTGGGGAACAAAAATACATCAGTACTTTTTGTCAGCTGCAATTCACTGCAGTTTCTTATTTTAATTGCCCTGCCCCTGCTCATTTTCTGAAAAACTAAAAGACTACAGGAAGAAAAAGGTAGAACTCCTTGGAGAATAACTGTTTCATCACAAAATCTGTAATTTTATTATAATCTTTCCATTTGTAATCTTTCTTCCTCCCTCTTTTTTCTACCAGTAATCTGCCAGCAACAATAAACTGGGGAACAAACAGACTTTTTTTTAATTTCATCTGTTTTTTGCTAAACTTGATGAGCCTGGTACATACTGTAAGCTTCTAGACACCTCAGGAACACCAATCAATACTGTTGAGTATAGAATTATTGAAGACAAAAATAATTCCACACCATCAAGACCATGATGTAGAATGACTAAAGATTATTAACATGAGCAACACGTATACAAGGTCTTCGTTATTGTATTTCAAAATATGGATAGAAATACAAGTAATGCATTATGCTGACAACTATCCCGAGTACCTACATTCTTGTAAAAGTATTGCTGAAATACTTATATCAAGCTACAACTGCCAATTCTGTTTTTAATGGTAAAGGTGACAACTGAGCTGAAACACCAAACTCAGGGTTTTTCCCAGAAGTTCTGAAGAATAAATAATTATGATAATGCTGAAAATATTTCATTATTTAATGGAAAAATATTAGTTTTCTTTATCTCAATAGCAAAGTAAATTTTTAGTTGAAACTACAAAGGTCCTTTTGGTCAAAGTAAAAGCCTTTTTAACTATAAACTGAATTTAAGCTTAAATAACATTTTCAAGATCTTCTGCAATGCTAGTAATGTAGAAAAAGTTACCAACATCTGAAGGTTTTATTAGACATAATTTAGTGTATGAGACAGGTGAATTCCTGGTGGATTCCACAAATACTATTCCCTTTGACAAGGAAAGTTAGCAGCATTATTTTGTGCAAAGAACAGTCTATCTATCACCTCAGGAGTACTTCACATTAGAAACGGAAACAAAAGATCTGGGTGTAGTTAAAATAGTGAGCTCTTGAAATCAAGAAACATCAGAAGAGATGACTACAGATGAGGTAAACCAAAGGGGAGCTAATTCTAGCAAAATTCTGGATGAAGCAAATCAGCACAGACTTGACGGCTAAAGAATGAAAAGCCCAGACACGCATAATCATTAAAGTGTTGTTTTACTCTGCTTTCAAAAATGAAACTGAACTAAAAAAAAAGAAAAAAAAATGTTAAATCCATTTTTAAAGTAACTATTGGCACAGGCCTAATGGCACTTTTTCCCCTATCTGTGTTTAGCAAATTCAGGAGTCTTAAGAGGTATGGTCTGTTTCAAAAAAAAAAAAAAAAAAAAAACAAACAAACAAAACTGGACTGAAGGCTTTTGGGCAATATTCTTTCCCATGGACAGGAAATACAATTACATCAGTTATGTACAGTTTAAACAATGAAATCAACATAATTTTCTTTTACAGGAATAAACAGGTAAAATGTGAATACAGACCAGCAACTACCTAAAGAGGCCTACAAGAAATCCAGAGGGACTTTTTACAAAGGTGCATAGTGATAGGACAAGGGGAATAGTTTTAAACTGAAAGTGGGGAGATTTGGATTAGACATTAGGAAGAAACTCTTTACAGCGAGTGGTAACCTGGAACAGGTTGCCATGAGAAGCTGTAGCTGCCCCATCCCTGGCAGTGTTCAAGGCCAGGTTGTACGAGGCTTCAAGCAATCTGGTCTAATGGAAAGTGCCCCTGCCCATGGCAGGGGGCTGGAACTAGCTGATCTTTAAAAGTCCCTTCCAAACCAAACCACTCCGTGATTCTGTGATATGGACATATGAAACTGAATAGCACAGCTAAGCAAGTTTCTGAATTACTGTGCAGGCAGAGTTTAAATAGGCAGTTGTTGGATATGCTACTGACAGAAACAATGCAACCTGGTAACAATGGTGGGGGTAAAAGAAACACAGCTTGAAGCAATGGCAGTAAAAATACCACATTTCCCTTTGGGGTGGAGGATAATCAAGCTTTACATTTATAACCAGAGCCCTAATCAAGAGAGTTTGCCATGCCACAGCAATGACCAAGACCTCATTTCTCAGCTGCACTGAGACAACAGTTACTGTACGGTTTTCTGTTCATTTTTTACAACTGAGCCCAAAATATTGTCATAATTGCCAGTCCTCCCTCATACTCTGACACAAACAGCTGTCCAAATTCTCAATGCATGAAAAAACGATGCACCAAGCAGGAAGAAAAAAAGGCACAGACCAAACCAAAATGAAGTTTTTTTCAATTTAAAATATGTCCACATTCTGTGAGAGAAACTTGATTTTTGAATGCTGTGTGGCAAAATTGTAACTGCTCTCATTATTGAATTTTTTGTAGTATTTTCTACTGAATGTCATTAGATGGACTAAAAGTCACTACTTTTGATTTTGTTGTTGTTAAAAAAGTAACTTTATTGGAGTTTATTACCAAATTCTCAAAATTACAGCAGACTACTACAGATAGCTTTCCTGAAATGTCAGGTCACTAGTATTGTGCACAGGACAGCAAGTTTTAAGCACATACACTACGTAAATTTCTATTTATATATGCACATGCACTACGTAAATTTCTATTTATATATGCCAAATACAACTTCATACTCACCATCTTGCTGCTTCAACAGCCCTTGCTGGATGTATCGAATGTATGTGAAGAAGTTACACACAGAAGTGATCTGAACCCATATAAAATAATGATGGTTAATACAATTTTCTATAATAGTATGGAAAAAATAACTAAATAACTGCTACTGAAAATGAAATCGCAGTAAATCTACTTACCCTGTAACGACAGAAAGGAGAAATGTAGTAATAACTGCTTGAATCTCCTAATTTGATTCGATGCTTACATGACTTACTTTGTCCACTGAGAGCACATTTTCTACAAAATACAAAGGTTGCATTATTTAATAAACCAATCTGACATCAATGTCTAAGCATCTGCATGTGTTTAAGGAGTTAATGTAATTGTTTCATATTGGAGCGGGTCCTCAAGTCTCTGCCTTCATTTTACAAGCTGCAATTATTACATTATATTGTCAATTATTTTAGCTCCACAAGCAGTGATTTTGTTTCAACAAAGGTGCACCATGATGCATTCTGATTTTGAGAACTTTCTTCGGCTCTGGTCATATACTTCACTAATTCAGGTTGGCTTGGAATACTGGGATTTCTTTCATTAACTCTTCATATCTGAAACAAACACTGTTTACATTACCAGTTGATGCCAACATTTACACAGTCTTTTAAAAACATCTGCTTGGTGTTGCAGTTCATCATAAAATATCAGCCTTACAGAATAGCAGCCAATTCCCCGAAGCCTCCAGCCTGCCACAGATGTGTTCTAAGACCATCCCCGCTTTTATGCCCAAATTGAACTCATATTTTATATTTAGAATATAAAATCATTTGGGACAAAGGAAAACAGGCTGCCTGGCAATAATTCTTTTCACTGCCGTTACAAAAGTGATGGTAAAAAAAACAAATTTACTTCTGCTGGTGTATTGCAAGTATGTCATATTCAGGAACAAGGAAAGGTAAGCCTTCACCATGAATTCTTCTCAAAAAAAGAAACAAAACAAACAAAAAACACAGGAAAAAGCAAAGAAAATTTCCTCTAACATTTTTACAAAAGATTTGAATCTCCTGAAGAAACTGCTATTAAGACAATCTTAATAAATACAAATAAACCAGGAATTTTATTTACTTGGGATATCTATCTTGCAGCATCTCAGATGAACAGGGTTGTCATGGCATCCACTGTTCCACTGATTTTAAAAGCTGCTGGCTCTTCTCCCTTCCATTTCTACCTCATGAAATTAGGAAGCCTAAGAACAAGCAGCCTTTCAAAAGTGAAACAAAAATTACTAAGCTTCTGTGGTTCTAAACAGTGGCTCAGAAGCCCTTTTAAATAGCCAGCAGCTGGTCCACACAACCACATGAGACAGGAGAAAATTGAAGAGTCTATATGACTTTCCATAGCAATTTATGAGGACTGACAGCAGTCCATTGATCCAAAAAATCCTATAGTAGCTGAAGCAAGCTGATCACAGTTTCAGTCAAGCTTTTGTGAGAAGACAGACAGACTTTCAATGCGAGGAAAATAAAGCCTTTTTTTTCCTTCTGGCTACAGAATTACCTTCTATATGTTATCTTCCATCACACCGGGTTAAATGCTGGCATGTCAGCTACTACTAATGACTCTGTTCTGCGTTGTACGGCACACATGCAGCTTAGAGCTTTGTTCCCCATGGGGACAATTATTTGAATCCTGTGGGGAAACCCAGCTGTCTTTTGTTAAGGCAGCACTTACTACACACCATCAAGGCACCATTCAGTAACTTCTATATATAAAAAACCTTTCTTCATTATTATCACAGTTCTCCATCCTCGGCTATTTTGCCGTGGGTTATTACCTGCTGTTTTACGCATCTGTTCCCCCATCTCCCAGGCTTTACTGTACAGTAAAATAAATTCCTTTAAAAACATTACTCTAGTTTTTGTTATTATTTGAAGTTTGTGTATATTATGTTACCTATTTCAGTAAGTGTTTTCAAAATAGTGCTTTGCAGTGTATAAAAATAAAGAATGCTAAACTGCCTCTCTGATTCAGAGAAAACTGGAATGCCTGTTTTCCCTTCAGTGCCAGTAATCATCTATAAGGCAAAGCACATTTGTTGTCAAATTATACTTAAATATTGTATATTCCTTACCTATTACTTATCTACAAGCAACACCACAAAAGTTTTTGTTGCTACATAACAATGGGAAAAGGCAGAAACGAGTACACCTGGCTTTCAATACACCTAAAGTAACTAAGCTACAATTTGTGTATTGTCATCTCAAAATGTTAATCTATACCTAGCCAACTATTTAAGTATTACATAAGTTCTAATTAAAAAATTATCTGACACTGGAGAAAGCAGATTTAAAATCTCATGAGACTTCTGAATGATGCAATTGAATCTCCTGGTTTTGAGTAAGTATTTCATCATGTCAAGATGTAGGGAAGCTGCTTGAACCACAATGATTTAAAATCAATTTGCCAATTGCTCATTAATGACACATGACTTGTTTCAGTAGCTTCTGGCTGTCCAGATTCTTTACTACATTCATGGAACACAGCTCAGAGTGATATATCTTGGACTTGAAATCACCGCCCCTTGTGTAGCCCCATTGTTGGTGGTGGGATCTTACAATGAGGAGTTGTTACAGCTCAAAGAGCACATTTTCAGGTGACAAGAGTAAGCTCAATATATGAATGCCTGAATTTTGCAGGCTAGAAAGGATCAAAGATTAAGTCATAACACACAATTTTGTTTTTATACAGATTCATTAATGAAAGAATAAAAAATTCTGAAATCTGATTAAATGTATTTTATCTTCCACCCAGAACCAGAGGAAAAAGAAACAGGAACTAAAAGCCAACAGCAAAGAAAAAAAAATCTTAAAGAGACAGATGAAAACATTTTGATGTAAGTTTTCCATCAGAAAACTGAGCTCTGTCAAAACACATATTACAGAAAGAACTGTCAACTCGTCTAAAAGATCTCAATCAGAAAAATCAAGGCTTTCTCAAGATTTGGAAGGCTCCAGGTTAACACTGACCTTGCTTGCTTAACCTGACACATCCCTTCCTTCTCCTCCACACCCACCAAAGCCCTAGTGCCTTGGGCATGGCCCTTCCACCTCACTCACTTTAATGTCTGTATCAGCACCTGACAACAAATCTTGCTTCACATTATTCCAGGAACATTCCAAAACTTCTAAAATTACCTTCCTGTCATTCAAGCATACCTCCTGCTTTAGGTTCAAACTCAGGTTCACTCCCACCTTCATTACATTCCTCCTACTCAAATTCAGAGGATTTACTTTCTTTATCGCCTCTCAAATCCTATAGCTACCTTTGTCCATGTGCTACGTAGGTCCCAAATTCCTTATGCCACAAACACTGCAGATGTCCAGTATGCAGCCTATGCTACTTTGATACCTATTTCTTTCATAACTTTTTCCAGGTAATAACCCCTAGTTCAAATACATCTGTTTTAAGTATCAGGATGGTCTTCTCCAAGGAAGCAAATGTTACTTTTGTGGTCAATGCTTAAAGTTAAATAAACAGCTCTCCCCAAAAGGGGATTTGTCTTAAAGGTTTGTTCTACATTAGTCTTTTTTAAAGTTTAATGTATTAATTGCTTACTTTCCTCATAAAATTTTATAACAGCAATAATGAAGTCTTAGATGTTTAGGAAATAAAGTTTAAGTTACACAAACTGGACTGAGGTGATCAGTAGGTAGCAGCTTTCTCAAATGAGTCAAGATTCACGCTCTGTTAGCTTAACATACTTTGGTCCGCCACATTCAACTGCAGAAGCTTTCACAAATCGAACAGGTTGCAAGCCAACAGGTTCAATGCTCAGAGTGTTGTTTTCAACAGCTTCCAGAACAGCTGAAGCCAACTGCAAGAGAAATTTAGAAAGCAGTTAAAAACAGCTCTGTGTTATCCATTGCCTCAAAGCAGTGACATATTTCTTCTTCTGTAAAGTAAGGAACACTGAAAAAACTCAACTCAAACACAAATTCAATTACAAATGAGATTCTGCTTTCATCATAAAAAAGAGGACCGATTTCCAGACCTCTGAAATGCTGCCCTCCAAATAACCCTGCCCTCCCTGAGGCAAGATAACTGGCTTTACATCCAGAAATCTAGTCAAGCATGTTTAAAATGCTGTCTTTTCAGTTATCCCTCATAAGACCAATAGCACATACATTTGTACATGTGACATTCTTATCAGGACTGGACATGGCATAAACTTTATTTTTAAGAACTGCTCTGATTTTATTGTGTTCTATGGAAACACAAAATGATGCAACATGCCTCCTTATCTTGCAAAAGCACAAGTAAACATGCTTTTCAGCAACAGACAGCTTTAGAAATATGTTCAAACAAGTAGAACAATATACAGAAAAGACAACATCATATATATAAAAGCCAGTTGCAACTTTCAAACCCTAGCCTAGTTTAAAAATCATCTTCATCAAAGTACCACTTTATTCAGGCTTTTTATGTTAATTCTTTATAGATACACAATCACAAGACACTAGAAATACACTCATTTTGCTTGTTTGAACTAAACACTTGCCCAGGACTACTGTTTAAGTATGGACAAGTAATAGCTATTACCTGATTTAAAAGAAGGTGTAAGTTGTGTTATTAGTGAAATAGTTCTGTGCCAAGGTTCCTTCCTACTGAGTAAAGATATTTTTCTATTATACTTGGAATATTTTGAAAACCGAATGTTACATTATAGTAATTCATATGAAATATTCTTTCTCTGCCATCTCCCAAAAACAAAACACCACTCACATACACAAGAGTCTACTGAGAATTAATGTAACACTGCAGCCATTCAGAGAACTGCATTTCCAACTATTCAGAAACAATACTTGTGCAGTTTATTGTTTGGTTTAACTACACATTAGTTTATCAATATTCAAATAAAACAAAAGTTGGTTACTATGTGCAATATCTAGAAATAATAACTGATTTAACTGACCAAAGTGCTGGAAGCTTCATTTTTTCCTTGTAAGAAAATACAAATCCACAGTAATTTTATCATCACTGAAGAAGGAAAAAACAAAATGAAGTTGCTGGGAAAGACAACAGGATGGCCTACTTACATATACTGCAGCAGCAATTTAATTCCCATAGTAACCAAGTAAACTTTTTAGTGAGAGGTTCACAAGATACTGTATACCAACCATAATGAACCGGTCTACAATTAACTAAGAGATCATGAATGCTTATGGCCAGCAAGTAACAACAGATGAAAAGCATAAGAAAAGAACATTAACACCACATGAAAACAACAGATAAGCATTATGAAGAAAATACAGCTTTTCCCATGTGAGGTGTGGGCTTTAAAACCGGTTCTTATTTTAATAAAGATCTAAGAACATGATCCTTTTGCCTTAGAAACTGATATCACAGCTACAGCCTGTAAATGCTGCTTAAGAACAAAAACTAAGAAAAGCAGTTGGAGCTGGAAATGGTCCCAAATTATTACCAGGATAGCTAAAACACCTGTCCTTCCTCTTTATGGGAGACTGTATAGGAATAACACGAGCTAAAAAAAAAACCAAACACAAAAAACAAATGCCAAACCCAAACCTCATTTTTTGTTTCATCTAAAACCACATTCCTTAACCGTCCCCTGTAGAACCATATAAAATTCCAAAGTCTAATTCTTGTAACTCAAGCCTCCCTTCAAGAAAACAAAGCAAAAGCCAAGAAAAGACTGTGCTTGCAGCTTGCTCTGATTGATACGAGAGAAAACTGGGTCCACAAAATTCAATATATTGGTCTCTACTGCCCCCTATATAAACAAGAAACAGTGACAGGATACTATTTCTACAAAACAGTATCTTCAAATATCAGGAAAAATACCACCATCCATTTCTACAAACATCTGATTCTGCTGGAAAGGAGCAACATGTGAAAGAGTAGACCTAAAAAGGCAATATCTGCAATAGCATCTGTGAAGCAAAAAAAGGATCAGTACAATACTCCAGACTAAACTTCACTGTAATCTGTCACACTCTAGTGAAACAAAAATGGTTAAACTTCAGATGAAAACATTTTTAATAGCCTATTGGCTTCATGAAACATATTTAAGGGAAAAGCATCGGTGACCACATTTAGACTGTTTCCATTACCTCACTTTTTGAGAAGGTTAAACATGGAAAAATATCTTCCCGATAAATTTTGTCCAAGAAAGGACATGTTCTGTCCATAGTAGGCTCATCCTTCCAAGATCTGAATTCATTGTACAAAGACAGGTCAGCCTAGAATACACACAAAAATTCATGTTAGTACTGCAATTATCACACTACTACAATATTTGCAAATAGCCACAGGGAAATAATAAGCATTAGAACTAAATGCTTTCCATTGCACTGTAAAGGGATACTATCATGCCCTAGCTACGAACACTTTCTTAAATCCACCTTCCTAAGACTGTAAATATAAGCAAATCAAAACATACAATTTTCAAGACACAGAGGTAATCCATTCACTGCTCACCACTAAACCAGGGACAAGCTCATTACCTCTTCCCCATTCAGTAAGCTTCCAGGGTAGCTTTGAAAAACATAATTGATGGTTCAACAGAAAAAAAGAAAATTATTCTTCACTACAGTATTTTAGTCCCATCTCCATTTCTGTGAGTTACAGAAAAGCATAGGAATCTTAAGAAAACAACTGCAATCCTAGAAGTTTTATCCATTCACCCTACACCTGAATATAACACACCGCTATCTGAATGCCTTCAGAAAGTAGATATTTAACACACTAAATATACTAACACAGGAAAACAGGACGTCAATATACAAATCAATTAAAACTATTAAAACTTCATTTTTCATCTTTATGCCCAAACTCTCTCTATGCCATGCTACAGCAGGACAGCAAGAATATTCAGTGGGCATGACTTATGAGCCTGCTCCCCCATAGCTCCTCTAGTCAATAGAGAAATAATCAACCCATTAAATCATGCTATAAGCAAGCAAGCATGCTCTGTGTTAGGAAGAAATGGGTTTATCTGCATTGAAAACACCTTGGGTATTTATCTCCATGTTGAGACTGATTTAGCAGTGGGAATGCACCTATTCAGTCTGGGGCTCAGAGAACAGCACTAGGTCCCTATGAAAATCCACGTCTGGATTAACGGAACAGCTTGTCACATGGGCTGGCCACCCACTAACTGCAGCACAGTGAGGTACTCCCAGTGTACATCATCTGGTTTAGGGTTACCTGAGAAGGGAGGATCCTGTTCACAGCCACCAACACTGCTCCAAGACACGAGCCAAGCAGAGTGGGGATGAGTGCTTACTTACAATACTTACTCCTAATCCAATGAAAAAGACTAATGCCAGTCCCCAACGGGATATGCAACACCATCCTCAGATTGGTTTTAACATTCTGCTGACACAGACTTCAGCACCTTTCCCCTCCAACTGGTTGTTAAATCCCTTTCTTGTACTATAGCAGACCTATACTCCTAAAACCCAAACCTAAAGCTATAGGGAGCAATGTATGCTGCAGGCCCAAAGATAAGTCAGGATCTGATTTAAAAATTTTGTAATATTAAAAACAAATAATGTAGGTGAGATAATGAAAGAGGAAAAAACATACAGTAAAAAATAAAATCTTCTTTTAACCCTATTAAAAAGATCATTACAGTTCTTTGCACCAAACTCTTTCAGTCTTTTGCTCTTTCCCCATGCATTACCTCTCCTCTGAGCTCCCAGCTTGTCATTCTTTTACATATACATTTGGGGGAGTTCATTTGTCATTTTTGTGGGTTTTTTCCTTCGAAAAGAACCTATAAAAATTAAGACTGGCAAATTTGCTTTCCATTAGAGCTACTTGCCTTACGCTGAGGTACAATCAGGAACAACCATCTTAATTAAGATAGTCCATAAATGCTCTGGTTGCTAAGCCACCAACCTCATTCTACAAATGAAATTCAATAGGTGTAACTTGCTCCCTAAAGGAACATTTCCCATACCTTAAATCCCATCTCAGGTCCAGCTTTAAAATAAACACAGTCAAGAGGTATCAGCAGGAAAAATAAGAAGGCATTTTGATTTGTACTATAGTATTCTAAAAATTAATGTGCATTTCTTATTAACGTGGCTATGCTCAGTGGATATAGGCTGATGCTCTTCCTTTCCAAACTACACTGGATGCCACATGTCTCCTCACTGCCTTTACTTGCTCTTTCATTAGATCAAAGTTTTGATTACCTGCAATTGATTAGACAGCCAATGGAAATAATAATTTTAGTGAAATGTTTAATGCTTTAATTTTTTTTAAAATACAACATCAGAAAAATGCTTCAACTCTTTGAACAACACTGATGCATCTATCAGCATTTACACTGAGTGGATGCTACCTGCCTGCCTAAGATCCAGGCAGCTATTCAGCTTGCCTAAATCCTGATAGTATCTGAATTAATTAGACATGTATACTTATCCTAGAGGCTACTCCCACTTGCTAGGAAGCCTTTCTCTGGGATGCTGGCATGTTTCTGGCTCCACTGCAGTTTAGGGTAGACAGCCAGCCACTGCCTACATTCCACAAAGAAACCTGACAGCTGACACGTATTTACATGCAGCTCCATCCAACATGTTGAAACGCAAAGCTCGGAGTGGTAGATTCTCCATAAGCATCCAAAGTTATATTCCCCCTACTACCAGGCCATTACATACCCCTGAGCAAGGGTACTCTTAGTTCCTCTTTTGAAGAAAAACATGCAAAGGGTAACCTAACTCAGTGGCAAGAACATTTAGCAAGAAGAAGGCAGAACTAGGGTTTCAGACCCAGCTCCCAGAAATGCAAAAACATTTACCTTAGGCCAACAATAAACAAAAGCAGTAAACAAAACCACAAACCACTGGATAATGGTAGCAGTAGAGAAGGCATATCTTTCTGCTTAGAACGATGTCCTAATCACCGTGCAGTCTTGTTTTTTCACCCCATGTTGGACTCCTATCAAACACTGCTCAGAGGACAGATAGACAGAATCACACCACAGTGAGTGGAAAATCCATGTGTTTCTTACTAATTCCCTAGGCTGTCACTGGAAGAAGGTCACCTGTTTTGAGCATCCTCGATCAAACTTTAAGTGCCTCCTTATGCAACTAACAAAAAGGAGACTGAACTAAAGAAAAATGTCAGGCAGACTGGACCTTCTGCAGCACAGCCTTCACATTCACCACTTTCTCTCCACAAGAAAATGAAGCAAAACAGATTTCCCCCCCTCTCTCACTCCTGCCCAACAATAAAAAATTTCACTGAGTCACAACCTCAGTGTGATGTTTGCAAAGTAACTGGATTCCATTCCATCTCTCTTCTTTTCTGAAGTGCAACAAGGATTCAATTTTAATAAGGAAAACCTCCTGGATACCACCGAAAGTGGGCAGGCAGGATGTAAAGCTTCTCTTTTTTTTGGAAGCCCAAGTATGAAACAAACTGGAAAATGCCTTTATCTTCTAGATTTGTAGTAAAAAGATGTACAGCATAAATGATGAGTGGCAAACTGAAGTATAAAAATGGCCACTGTGAATCACATTAAAGACCCAGTTACCCTGTTACCCCTCTGACAATGGCCTGCTATCACAGCACTGGCTGCACAGCAACACGAGGGGAAAGACAGTGATGTGTCTTCATTTCACAGCCTCCCAACTTGTAGCCATTTGTAGTTAAAGAAGCTTCCTAAGCCAAATGCCATACCTACCTTCTACATAACTTGACAAGTTTTTCTTTTGTCACTTTGCATGGCTACATTTTGAACACATTTATATTTTTAGTCATGCTACCTAGTGACAATGAGTTGTAAAGTTTTATTCATTATGTACTGACTGAAAATGATTTTCCTTCTAGCTTCCAGAGTTTTTTTATTACAGGAAAACATTCATATTTGTTTGCCATTAATCTTCCCTGTGTCACCTGTGATTGCACAGATTTTTCTTCTACCTCAGGCCTCTCTCTCTACACAGAAGGTTTGACCATCTATGTCACACTTCCTCATATTTTCATTATGTCTTTTCTGAGACGAAGACATCAAAGCTACTGACATAGACACACATATTTACTATACATTTATACAGGAGTATGCTTTTTCTATCTATTCCTTTCCTAACAACTCCTAAAGCTCTGTGGGTCTTTAACCATTACTGAGTTTTGGGGTTTAAAGAGTGTTCACAAGGACACTACTTTTAATTCCCACCCCCCCTGCACAATACAGCTATTTCTAAGTCCACAACTGCTGTGTGGAGAGTTGAGGGGGTTTTCCCAGATGTCTAATTTCTCATTTAGCATTTGAATTTCATCTTGCTATTATATTAATCACTCAGTACCATAAGAGCCTACTGAACTCTTTGGTCACTTTTTGCTAATACCATTCCAAGGACTTGAGCACTAACCTGTCACCTCATTATTTCCCCATTTTCAGTTACAGTAGATTAAAAAAAGTCACAGACCACTCTGCAACTCCAGTGGTAACTCTCCTGTTTCCTAACAAACCCTTGACTCTCATCTTTTCCCAGGCCTCTTTCACCCATTATCGATCTATAAAATTACTCTTCCTCTTTTCTATGGCAGTTTATGAAATGTTTGTGAAAGTTCATGAACTTTCAGTCGTGGGCTTTGTAAAAAGCCACCAGGACTTATCATTCAGTTATATTTGTGTGTTAGGTTTTCTTAAAAATCCCATCTTTAAATTATTCATTTCAATATTTCAAATATTATCCCAGCTTCCCTTAATGATATAAAGCTTGGAAAAATCACCACCTATTGGCATGTATGACAAATTTTCTTTCATTAATGAAATAATTTCTAATATAGTATTACATGAAGATTTAATATATACTATATTTACTGTAAATAAAACAAAACAATAAGTCAGCTTATCAGCAAAAAGAGGACAATCCTTGTACTGTTACCTCCTTACAGTCTTTTACAATTGGCTGCATCACGGTAAGGTCCTGATGACTGCCACCCATAGCACTGCTTGTACTCTTGTTTCTTGCATGGCCTTTCTTAAAAGGAGCTTTTCCACTAGACTGAAACTCTTTAGTTGGAGATGTTGGTGAAGTAGACAGTACTAGTGTTTTCAGTGCTGCTACTTCGGCCTGGAGGACATCAATCTTGGGTGGGAGATAAAAATGAAGTCATTAACAAACAAAAATACTGTAGTAGGCTATGAATATGTTAAATTATTTAACATAATTTCCATTTATCTTTAGTTCAATTCAAGACTTTTATCTTGCAACAGTACTAAGAGGCAGATGCCTATGCAATTGTCTACAGCAGTAACACTGGCTTCCTATGCACTTTGCTAGCTACCTGATGCTGAAACACCAGTTATGTCTACAGGCTTTAGCTAAGAATATGTCAAGGCAACACAAAACATCTTTATGTTTTAACAATGTACACAGGTTATGGACTATTCACATCTTAATGATTCACACTTTAGATTTGTAACCATATGAAAAGACAAAGCAAGCTAGAAAAAACACTTACCTTTCCTTGTGCTTCTTTTAACTGTTTTTCTGCTGCAGCTTGTTTGACATTAGCTTCTTTAACCATTTTGTGTGCTTCCTATAAAAAATATTTAGCTAGTGTAAATGCTTTACACAAATCTACAAGATCCAGTAAAAAAAAAAAAAAAACAAACAAAAAAAACACAACCAAACCCAAAAAAAAACCCAAACCCAAACTAAGGACACACACTTTTGCTTCACAGAGACTACTTGTAAATAGTAAGTTGTGGAACAATCTTGATGATAATTACATACCAAAAAATACCTACAGGTATATCATTTTTATCATTTGGATTCATCACTGGCCCACAAAGTTTCTTCTCCTTGATCCTGAGCCCAGATTCAGAAATTCAGCAACTCCACCCATCCCCCTCCAGTAGGAACAATACCTGTCATGAATGCCAGGCTCCATTCATGTTTCAGTGGCTGACAAGTCAAGTACCTTGACCCCCAAGACTCAACCAATAGCAACAAAAGCAACATGGGCACAGTTGCACATTGAAAAGAACTTCTCCCTTCTTCTATCCAGAATAACCAGTTTTAATCAACTATGAATTTCTACATGAAGGAACCAGTCAAACAACTATGATGCCTGAATTCTTACCATCAATAAAACAGACAAAGCAACACCTTAAAAATAGTTTGTGGGTTAATAAACATTTCTTAAGTAGAACAGAAAATGCACTAAAGCCCAGTCCAAGAAACAAGGCTAAGCTAATCATGAAGCAAGCATAAAAGGACTGGGGATTTTTTAAACACCCTTTTACCTCATACCGCTAAAATTTTTGGCTGCATAAAGTATTTATTTAGGCTCTGATCCATCAGTTTGCGCCTGTGATCGAATTACTGCTCTTACTCAGTACTTAATGAAGGCAACAAAGACTGAAAGATCAGAACCATCAACTAAATTATTTGGGATAAGATCCTTCTCATATCTGTAAAGCGCCTAGCACATATCTGGACGCTATATAAATAAAAGTTCATACATCATCACACCAGAAGATTTGGCTCCCAGTGGCATACAACACAGCTGTATAATATGGGTTTGTAAAATTCTCTTAAGTAACAACAGACACATGCAGGAATGGGAACATACACATTTATACAAGGTGTACAAATACATTTAACACTGAGCATGCAGTTTCTGCATAGTGATGCACCTTGAAAAGCAAAGCATGTTACAGTGCTATTACAGTGTAATAATGAAATATATACATCCAGCTGTGCAAAACAAGTCTCAATCCTCCACTGAGATGCATTAATATAAACTGTAGCATATCCACTTATACGGTCATTGAAAGTAGTGGAATTCAGAGCAGAACGTGAATTCAAGAGCTATAGGTCCCAGTGCAAAAATCGAGAAGCCTTAACACTGTTGTCAGCGCCTCTTAGTGAAATCAAGCCACAAAAGAAAATTCAAGTGACATGCTCACAACAGTTCTAAATAATTAAAACTCAACACTGTATTTCAAACATAGCTTTCACAAATTGATACATTGTTCTAAGTTATGAAGTGTCATTAATATAAAACTTCACTGATATTTTTATGCCTCTACAGTTAAACTACCTGCCCAACATCTTCCTCTCCTCCCAACATACACAAGCATTTATGCTAAAAAGTATCTTTTCAGTCTCCCATTTATTTTCTACACACAGGAACTGCTTCATATTTTAAGTAACTCTGCCCTACCAGGATGATGAAATAAAATGCATTGCCAACCCACAGAGCAGTTTGTAATTTGGTTTTTGAGCGTCAGTACTTTCAAGGTTTTTAATAGCACTTTTATACCAATACAACATCATGTTTAAATACTGCTTTTAAAACATACTTCATGTTTTATCTTTATGCATATGCTGAAAATGGTAGGCTTATAAATCATGTTTGGATTATGAAATTTATTCTGACAGTTATAGGTATCACAATTTAGCCTCTAGGCATTTCTAAATATTCCTGTGATAAAATGAGAACTGATCCTGCTACAAGTGTAGATATAAGATGGGCTTTTTTGGTGTACTACAAGCTCACAATCTTTGCTGGCATTTCTCAAATGTAAAGGTCCCACTTAAGGTTCAGACTTCTCACTTGGTAACCAGATTTCACCCCAGTGCATTACTCAGTATCAATGCTTCTTATCAACTCTGTGGGAGTAGCATGCTGCCAGACCCAAAATTCAAAAGCTAAGCATGGTTATGTATACTTGGTACCTCCATTGATATGGAACTACGTTATTTTATTTAGTCACCATGGCAACCCCAAATTTAGCTCTTATCCAGATAGCCTTGTTGTCAGACAGAGAAGCTGTCTCAAAATAGTTATGCCAAAAAAACAAGCCTAAATAGTTTTAAGCTTTATATTTTCATTATTTTCTTAATTTTGCATCTAGGCAGATTGACAGGCTCAACAAGGTCTCTTGCATCTAAGTGGAAAGTCTATTGTTTGCTCTTAAGTCTCTGCTTCAACACACCCAGGTCTTCAGGACACAAATCCTTTTATGAGCTTATTGAAATAAAATTCAGCTTACAATATACTGATTCTACATAAAACAACTGTCTCGGCTTCCTTTAAGTATATCACATGGAAGACTCCAACAAACCTCAAACAGACTAGCTGTAAGTTCTTCCAATTCCTGTCCAAGTTGATCTCGCACTTTAGAAAGCCTTTCACATTCTTCATCTTTTAACTTCAGCTCCTATGGAAAATTGAAAGTTATTTATTCTGACTTAGAGTAATAATTTGGCCTTTTAAAGCTAATACCACAGAGAGGAGGGAGAAAACGGAAAAATAAGAACATAAAACCTTTGCTAAACAAAGCCTTTCAACATATTCATCTTAACACTAGAAGCAATTAATGCTGCACATAAATAGCTATTCCTGCTACATGGAAACATACCAGACCAATCTAAATTATCTCTAAGCTAGACAAAAGCATTTCCAAAATACTCTAAAGTAAAAAAAGCTTTTTTTCCTGGAAAAACAGAAGACTAAAGTAACTTAAATTATAGAACAAATTAATTACTGGGACAGACAGAATAACTGTTCTGTGTACCCACTCCTCAACAGACACTTAAAGAAAGTAATCCTTTAAAAAGTAAATAAATAAATAAATAAATAGAAAAGCTCTGTCTCAAGACAATACCCACTTCTAAAAGAATCTTAAAACACATTGTACTATATAGTCTCCTGTGTATCTGCCTGCAACCAATAAAATTTCAGTCATACTGTAATCATATCCTTGCTCTTATTTATGCAGATGTATAAATCAAAACAACAAAATTAAAAATGTTATTTGCCTATACCACTAAAATTTGAGTGAAGGCCTGACCAAACCACTTTTAAAGTAAGATTTTAACAAAGATTTGGCAGTATAAGGGTTACACAGACCCAATCTCATTTTCTACTGTCCCAAGCCTGAGGGGAAAGTGGGGTAACTTGCTGAGAAGTACAAAAGTTCAACAAGAAATTTTAAAGGTTTTCTCTCTCCTCCCCCAGCCATTAAGACCTGGAATATCTTGGAAGAAAGAGAAGGATGGAAAGAAAAAGGGAAAGAAAAGAAGCAGACAGCCAATTCTGACCTTGCAAGCATTTTTTTCTTTTTTTTTTTTGGCCATAACTCCCCTCCCATCCCTTCTGTTTCTTCCTCATCCTCTTTTCCCCTTGCCAAGCTAGCTATTACACTACCATTACTCCTGAAATGCAGGACCCAAGCCTGTCATTGACATGTTAAAGACGCCAAATACAGTCTAACAATGATTTGGTTTGAAAATCTCCAGAAACAAGTAAAGAAAACAGCTGCCTTCCGAAAACCCTGGGAGGCCAGCCACTACAGTGTCAAAAGGAAGCCCACATGGCAGCTTCCCTTCCTGGGAGATGGTCAGTTTTTCTCCCAAATTCCTCATGGTGAGTAATGTTGTACACAGCAATGCAGGAAACCACATCTTGCCTCGCAGCATGCTGGTATTTCTGCTGGTACTCAATTTCTGCAGTGAGACTGGCAATAGATTTCCTCACAGATGAAGGATTCTGTTTAACTTCAACTCCTAAATTTGTGTTTAAAGACTGCTCCAGACACATTTAGTATCAAAGGCATTATTTGTCCCTTCCTCTATCTGGTTTTAACTTTGGGCACTTTGATTTTTAGTCTAGTTTGCCTTTTTTTTCTTTCCATAGGCAAACTTTTAACTACTTTGAAAGTACCACTTCTTTTTTTCCAAAACCATTTTGTTTTTTTCAAACATGGTACTTCTCAAAGAGTACTCAACTCTTACTTATTAGCTACTGTTCTGCACACAGTGACCTACCTTAAAAAAGAATTAAGAGGCAGCAAAATAGCAGCAATGGAGGGAAGAGAAGAAAAAAAGGAATACAAAATGCCAAAGGAAAAAAAAATTGGAAAAAAGAAAAGGAAAAAAATAATAGGGAAACAAAATTTAATTAAGTAATACTGTGTTGGTTTAAAGTATTTCCCACATAAAGTATGTGGTTTAATAAGAACATAAAAGATCCTGATGCAAAATGTTTAAAGCTCAAGTTTCATGTGCTCCTATAAATGCAGAGAATACAGCCAATACATTTCCTTTGTTTTCCTTCACTTGTAAGAAAAATGCTACATACACACCAATACATCTTAAAAGGAGATTATACTACTATTCAGCTCAAGAGTTATCAACTTCACAACAAAGACAGAACTACCCCAGGTTCACTTTTGGGCAATCACTACCAATACAGTATTTTAAGTGAAACTGTTACAGTTTTGCCTTCAACTGGAAAGATTTGGGGAGCTCAAATTAAAATTTATGCAGACAAGTAAAGCTGCTTAATGAAAACAGGAGACACCACCAGTCAGTCTACTACACATAGCTGCTTAGCTAGATTTGTCAAAGCCTGGGCAAGTTTCCATGGCATGATTCAGGAGGAGCATACATAACATTTTGCCAAGCAAGTTTAATAGCTTGGGTTTTCTTAAGCAGGGCAGAAATAAAGAGTGCCCAAAGTAAAAAGCTTAGCAGTTATTATTAAAAACATTACTACTGCCTGTGTCTTAAAGGCATTACTGGAGACTTCCTAGCCATACAAAATACAGAGGCAGAAAAGACAACTGAATGTGCTAGACTCATCATCCATGCTGCAGTCCTTCCCATATTACTGTTCTGAAAAAGTAACTACATGAAGATGATTGGCACAACACACAGTTACCAAAACAGGTAATAAAAAAATTTAACTTGCATGAAAAAAAAAAAATCCTATATCAAAGAGTCATATTATTATTGCTTATTTCACTTTGATCTTCACAGATTACAAAGTGGGTCTTTAGAAAGAACCAGTGAGAGAAAGAATGCAGATTACTGCTTCAAAACAATTTCTATTTGAAATTCTAGTAAGGAAATCAGCCTGAATGAAGATCAACAAATTAAGTAAGTCAGACCTAAATGCAGAAGACCATGGAAAGAACAAAGATTCTCAACAGATATGACCTACAATCAGAATTGTAGGACACTGCTAAATTCTGAAGTTGCTGATAAAGTTTGTATTTATATTAGAATGCATTTCTATTTAACTGGTCTTCACTCGGCACTCAAGTCAAACAAGATGCAGAAAAACTAGTCCATTGCAACCACATTTACAATGTTATCTGATGTGACAGAAGGTCCAGGATAATGGAAGAAAAAAAGAAAAATCTGCTTCAAACCCTGTATCAACACACAAGATCTGAAGACAAGAGATCAAATTGTATCACTCTGTTTCCGAGATGAAGAATGCATACAGAAATTGAAACCTTTGAAAGAAAAACCTAGATCTGAGGATCAGGTTCTTCAACTACGTTGAAATTTACAATACATGAGAATCACTGTATCAGTGTGGAAAAAAACTCTCAATTTCACCCTAGTAGGCAAATACTAGTAATTTAGATTTCTACTACAAAAAGTCAAACATAGTTTTCACTTGTTACCAATAAGCCTACAGATCTTACTCTGAAGAGTGCGAGAGCATAGAATTCATTCTCAAACCAAATACGGTATTTGCAACCAACATCCCTAGGAGACTGGTCTTTCCTCATCAGAGGAGGGGACTAACCATCAGTGACAGCTGATAATCTCAACACTCCAACAGAAAACACATCAACACAGAAACCAAAGGTTCTCTCTGCAGTCATGGATGACATCATTACATTGACAGTCTGATCCATGAGGAAATAACTTCAGGGCCACATCACACAAAAAAAAATCAAGGAAAACATGACTGAATGGCCATAGCTCAGAAACTACAAGCAAGCTATCCAAAATACATGCAATGTGCTGGTTATTCAAGATGAAAAGCAATCAAAAGGCATTCCTTCAGGACTCCACTAAAATTGCACATCAAGAAACACCATGTATCATAATATCATTATTCTCTCAGATGTTAGCTACATGTGGTTGATTCACCTTCAGTAACCACGGTGACACAGCTCAATTCAGGTATGGAATAAAAATTGCAAATGCATAGAGATACCAGGAGCTAAGGCTGCAGGCACTGAATCACCAAGCCTTTTAACACCTTCTCAATTTTCCTGATGCTGCTTTAAAAGGATAGTAGCAAAACAAAGAGAAAGGTTCCAATGACCTAAAGCAAGGGCTTTTCAGCTCCACTTCACAGAATATAGCCAGAAATTGAGTCTTCAAGTAGGGAAAAAAGAAAAAGAGGGAGCGGGAGGGAGCAGCCAAACTTTAACTGCATGGTCTCAACAAAGAGTGAAAAACTATGTCATTTTAATTAAGGAAGCACTTTAAGGCAAAAGTCCAATCTTACATGCTCCATCAGTACAGAATGCTGCCTTGCTGTTACCTCTGACCCAGCCTTTCTCCCAGTCTTACGACATGATTTGGTGCTGCAACTGACATAGACTGAAGTAAAAAGTGTACTTCCTGCCATAGGGAAACACATTTTTTACAGACTTTTTTTAAACAATTTTGCCAACAGCGCTGTTCATGAAGAAGTGAAGTCTGTACTCTTAAACATAAGGCATACATATAAAGGAGAAGGAAAAAAGAATAAACCTTTAGTCTATTCCTGACTACTTTCTTCAAGAACCATACTTAAACATCTACACATCATACCTATATTTTCCAATATAAAAAACTGACAGCATATTAATAAAAGTCACATTCCAAGCAGAGACATGGAAAAAAAATTAGGAGTTCTGAAACTTAGGGATCCACTATTTACTTTCTATTTCCCTTTCTGATTGCAACAGCGACAAATTCAAATCAATCCTTAATGCATAATACAATAGCATACAGTTTGGGTATAAGAAATTTGGAGCAAATGAAAAATGCAAGATAGCAAATTTGTCATTACTTTGGTCACTCCTGGGAAGTCTAGTCTGTAAGGTTTCCAGGCTCAATGAGCCCAGAAAATTCAAGAGCAAACTGTAATTCTCATTTTTCGCATCATTCCTAACAAGCAGCACAGAGACTTACAGAGAATTTAAAACCAGCATGCAAAAAACAACCAGCTATACAAACAACCTATTAATTATATCTCTACAGATTTTTAAAAATCAATAAAAGTGAAAAGACTTGGAAACCATAGAACCAAAGAATGGTTTTGGTTGGAAAGGACCTGAAAAGATCATCTAGTTCCAATTCCCCTGCCATGGGCAAGGACACCTTTCACTAGAACAGGTTTCTCAAAGCCTCATCCAAACTGGCCTTGAATGCTGCCAGGGATAGGGCAGCCACAGCTTCTCTGGGCAACCTGTTCTAGTGTCTCACTACCCTCTCAGTAAAGAATTTCTCCACAATATCTAATCTAAATCTACCCTCTTTCCATTTAAAACCATTCCCCCATTGTCCTATCACTACATGCCCTTGTAAAAAGTTCCAAGTTTAAAAACTGCGTATTACACAGTGGGCAAAGCCTTATGTGAATACCCATGACTTTCAGAAGAAAGCAATCAGAGATGAATTAGGGATAGAAAAAATTAGTCCTCATACAGACAGTGGAACAAAGTAGACATTACAGAAGAATAGGGTTTATTGTACTATCTGTAAAGAGTCCTGCTACAACTCCTGTGTTACTCACCAATTCTGAAACAGTACACATTTAGAAAGATAAGCAGACAAAAGCTATCCATCAAGTAACACTGGTATGAATCAACCTGATGGGTTGAGAATTAGCAAGACCTTTGACATCAGCAGTCTCAAGTTAGTGCTGAATTGCTTTTGTTAAGAGCCAAATGGTTTGAAAATATGTGACATGCAGTTAATATGTCCTAGCAGCCTTAATGGCATTTCCTTAAAAAACAACCTTAAATTTCAGTGTGAAATAGTAAACACTGTGATATACACAGTGAGATAGCGATATATACTGGAGTAAGATTTTCAGATAAATCCAAGGTAGCAGTAGCAAATCTGAGTTTTTGAGTACATACACTCCAGTACAGTCAGGAGACAGAAGAGTTTTTCTGACGTTTAAACTTTAATTTGCTCTTACTTTCTAAGGTTCCAAGTTTAACTGCTAGGATTATATATTCACATGCGAGGTCCTAAAACTTAACTCAGGTTGATGTTTCCTTTCAGTGGTCAAACACTAAGCAAACAAACACACTAGCAAAGTAAGCAACTACTCAGCAATAAAACAATCAACAGAATAATTGATGTCAGAATCCATATTTAACACTAACAAGTGCAAATGCAACTATGACAGAAATGATGACTACATTCAACAAGATGAGCTAACAAACAGAAGAAAACAAGTTCAAACACAAGATAGGATGAGCTTAAATCTAAACAAGAATGGGATCATGTAGAGGAGAGGAAAGGGCACAGACACAAATAGCACAAAATCTACTCAAACATTGAAGCACTGTGATGTTAAGATTATAAATAATGGCTTTGCATTTATATAGCACCATCCATCCAAACAAGACAAAGCGCTTTACAAATATTAATGAATTGAGCCACAGTGTCTTCAAAGGTATCCGTATTCAATTTGAAGTGTGGCGTAACAGTGAACTAAAGAACACCAGTGACATCTTTATTGCTTCTTTCCTAGGCAGGCATTTCCCTATGAAACATCACAAGTACCACTCTTCTAAAGCATTTCTATATTCCATGAAACATGCTACACTTTCACACTCTGTGAGAAAAACGACTCAGTGTCTATAAATACTTATACAGTAACAATGCAATGACAGAAAATTATTCCTATTCTCAGCTGGCAGAATGAAGGAATGGTCTACATTTCAAAGAAAAAACATGTTTAACCAGATATTGCAGCAAAAGCTTTCCATGGTTAAGTAACAGCAGCACTACAAAAATACATTATCAAGCAATAATTCTAAAACATTAGCACAGCACACATTCAGAAAACTTTACATAAAATAATTGCATCCTAATAATTCTAACAGAAATTAGTGGACTTGACTGCACCTTCTGGCTCATCTAGCATTCTGCAGTATTAGAATCACTTTGAAGAGAGAAAAAGCAGGAGACAAGACAAAAAGCCTTACCCTCTGAGCTTTTGCAAGTTCTTCTTTCAACCGTTCATAGCCCTTTTCTCTTACTTCCAGTACAGATGGGCTCCGTAAGTGAGATAAACTGTCTGTACTCAACCCAAAAATATCTTCATTTCCTTCAGCAACATCTGCTACTGTAGCACCCTGCAAAAACTCTCTCTCTACGTTATTGCTCTCCTTTCTGGAATTATTGTGATTGAATGACCCACTCTGGGGTCCAGAGGTAGAACAAAGTACTGTGTCAGTAACACTGATGCTGTAAAGAGAGAGATAAATTCTTTTTATTTATAGAATACATTAAGAAGAAATATTTTAGAAATAGCAGTAGCAGTGTTGAATATACCATTATGGACACAATTTAATATTACAACATTTTAAGTAGACTTACAATTATATCTTTAGTAAAGCAAATAATTTACATGCAGCAAACATCAGCAATTTAAATAAAAAACCCACACAGAACTTACCTGACACCTGATACTTCCCCACAATTCAGTTGTCTGGGAGATGAATAAACAGGCTGTGTGGGAAGATCAGAAACATTTAATGCATTGGGTTGGATTGGTGTGGAGGACACAACAGAAGGATGTGGTCGGTAGATAACACTGGGTGAGGTAGTTTGTTCCTGAGTCCCTGGCTCATTTACTCCAAGAAGATCTGGTGTAGTAGGCGAAGCGAGGTTCACTTCATGAAAGCCTTCCAAGGGATCACTGGCCATAATAAAAGCCTCATCATACGAAACCTTGAATTAAATAATCATATTATCAGAATGCAAAAAAGAAATACTACATTATATCTGAAAACTATATGAATCAAATTAAAAACCACTTAGACAAATATGTTTAAAATACTTCATGATTTAATAGAAACTCTGGACTAATCTTGCAAAACTATTAACTTCAACCACCAAGAATGTTTTTTTTTCACACATTACACTGTTGAGCCCAGAAGATCTAATACTGGACCCCACATCTAAGTGGGATGATGACATCAAGAACACGCTCTATCATAAGACAAAGCCATCTTCCATATAGCCTAAAGCTCTTTTGAATCAAAACACAATACTACATTAATGAAAGAGAGGCAGACCTGGGAAACAGTAAGAAAAAAACAAAAATAGTAATCTTAAAACCTAAAGCTTCCACTTTTAATCTCAACAAAGCAAATAATCTGGAGACAGAAATCAGTGAAACTTCAAGTAAATTGCAGTCCATAGTGATTTTGGTAAAATTACACTTCTGATATGGTAACAGTTCATAGAAATGACTGAACTAGCCAAAATATTTATTGAAAGAGGGATCTCATCTATTTCCTGGCTTCAGTGGATACATTCATAAACTTAAGAACTATGTCTCTTTTCAAAAACATGAGATACAACTTGACAATTACTTTACAAGTGGAAGGAGGGAAGACCCTGCAACTTTCAGAAATACATAAATTATTGTAAAATATTAATTTGTTGAAAACCTATTTGTGTATTTTCTAGAATATTAACAAAGCAAGCGTATACCTATTTAGTAAGCAGCAGAACCTGAAAAATTCTGTTTTGAAGTTCTGTGGTGTAAAAACCTGTTACTCCCTTTGAATAGAAGACTTAATGGGTCTTTCTAACGAAGAAACAGCTAAACTCACTTGGAGTATTGCTTACAGTTCTGGTGTCCACAATATAAAAAGGACATGGAACCCTGGGAACAAGTCCAGAGGAGGGCCACAAGGGGATGATCAGGGACTGCAGCACCTCCCGTATGAAGATAGGCTGAGAAAGCTGGGGCTGTTCAGCCTGGAAAAGAGAAGGCTGCGTGGAGACCTCATAGCAGCCTTCCAGTATCTGAATGCTTATAAGGATGCTGGGGAGGGACTATCCATTAGGGACTGTAGTGGTAGGACAAGGGGTAAGGGGTTCAAACTTAAACAGGGGAAGTTTAGATTGGATATAAGGAAGAAATTCTTTACTGTGACGGTGGTAAGGCACTGGAATGGGCTGCCCAAGGAAGTTGTGAATGCTCCATCCCTGGTGGTGTTCAAGGCTGGGCTGGACAGAGCCTTGGGTGACATGGTTTAGTGTGAGGTGTCCCTGCCCATGGCAGGGGGGTTGGAACTAGATGATCTTTTCAGGTCCTTTCCAACCCTAACTATTCTATAATTCTATGAGGATGTGTATTTAATAGATCACATGATTAACTGCCATCATGGTATCATACCAAAAATATATTACAGGTAAAAAGAATACTAAGAATTGGCAATTTAACTGACAGTATCTTTTAAAAAAAAAAAAATCTGTATCTTTTTTATAAGATCAACAGAAAACAAGTACAACACACAAATTTTACTGTTTTACAACCATTTATCAGAGATCACAAAAATCTTTGCATGATTCAAAATTATGAATTGGAAGTAGTATGGAGAAATTTCCAAAGGAATTACTTAGCAGAGATTATTTACTGCAAAAAACAAAAACCACACATTTTCCATGTTATATAAATAAATGAGAAAATTAAGGCTTTACAAAAAAAATACAAAAAAAAGAATTGTAGCATCCAACTGAAATAAGAAATTGCATTTTACAGAGAAATCTGCTTGGATCTTAAAACTGAAATCACAAGGCAGAGAGAAGACAGAGAAACATGATGGTCAGAACCATGAAGACATAATGCTGTCAACTTACATGTACATACAGTTAATCAGCCACTTCATAAAACACATAGACAACGCCAAGAATGGAATCCCCAAATTAGCATATGCAATCATGTTTTAGTTACAGCAATACTTTTTGATCATCTTAAACTCAAAGAACACTTCAAAACTGATTTGCACTATATCTATATATACCTATGTCTATATACCTATGCTAAACAAGTTGCTTTACCACATTATCAGGTACACATGGAAGATACTCATTTGCTCAGACAGCAAGAATGCCATTAATTTTTCTCTGGCCCTGCTAATTGCTCCCACACAAAGAAGAAAACCACACATGATTTACAGAGAAAAACGCGGTCAGTTTGTGCTTTGAAGCTTTTCTACGTAACACAGAAATTAACAGCTCATGTTTAAGTCTAAAAAACATTATTGTTTTCCCTATACTTCTCAACTATTATAAGCATTATAACTAAAGCTGTATGTAATGATAAAGCCTTGTTAGTTTGTCGAGTCAATAAATTAAAATGGTAGCACTGCTGGAGCTATAGGACACTTCTTCAAAGTCAAATTTCAATAATGTTTTCAGCCCTACAGTGCAACTATTACATGTGGTATACATTTAGAAAGCTAAAATACTGACATCTTCAAAACACAAAGCTGCAGAAACAGTTCTTTAAAGTTCATTAGCCCGGTTGAAAAATACCCACCTTGACAGTCTCAAAGTAAGGCTCACATCTACACAAATACATTTGCTTTCATTGTTCCCACCAGCAAGTAAGCCATACCTAATACTATTCTACTGGCAACACCACCAAGATGTTCCAGTTCTTTGGATTCCAGTCTTCACAATTAACAGAAGATGCAGGCTTCTGAATAGGGATGTCGAAAGGCTACCTGGATGCTTTGGCCTTTTCTATGCCTACAGCACCTAGGAAAGTGCACCAAAACCCACCCAACAGAAGCAGAGATTGAGAATACAGCTGAAAGCAAAACACGAACAACTCTTCTGACACATCTTCCCCTCTGTTGACCAGTTTTCATGTCAAGTTTGAAATACACATTCCTAATACCACTGAAAACTCACAATCTGACTTGATGCTCAATTATGGTACCTTAGTATTTTGCACCACCAGTATCACTGGTTGTTTTCAGTTGCATACCCCCTTGCGCTGAAATTTTCTAGGAAGTCTTTTTGAAAAAAAATGGATTTGGGGAAAAAAAACACTATTTAGCAATTTCCAAGAAAAAAAAAGGCTCAGGAAAATTTATTTGTCAATTTTTAATGTACCTTACACAACAGCCCTACTCAAACCTTAGGGCTGTTTGTAGGAAATGCTTTCAGTACATCAAATAAATTATAAGATCAAAGATCTACCATTCTGTATCTTTACGATAATTTACACAAATTCAGTTATGTTATGAAATGCACAAAGTCATGCTGGCTCACACAGAGATATACGATTAGAAGCCTGCTTATCTTCCAAATGCTCAAGTGCATTTCTAGCTCCCCCTCCAGACCACCATATCAATCTGATAAGTGATGTAGTTACGTCTGTAAAAATAACTAAACAAATCTATCTCATCTACATGCTCCTACTCCTATGAAAAATGTTCCACTTAACTCCTTTCCTACAGCTTTTCCACCTAACCTGCCTATATCCTGCAGTGTTTTCAATAGTTAAAAAAAAAGATTATGGCATTTTATTTACAAGACTATCACCCTGCTAATACATTACATATCAATCTCAGCCTAAACAGACAACTGAGATTTATGAGTAGGTAAATCTGCATAACTTCACGGTTATCAAAAAACAAGCTCTTTCTGCTACACTAAGTAAAGAAAGTTATACAAGTTATTCCTGGCAGAGCTGAAAATAAAGTCCCTCAGCTAAACTTTTCCCATAGCCTGTCAAATGGGCACTCAATAAGCATACCATCTGTGTAAAACACTTTCCATTCACAACTTTCTTCCTTCCTAGCGTTACTTCTCACTTAGCAGGGAGCAGGCAGAAGCTGGGTACACCATCCATACAAGACAAAGAAGCCCATATTGAACATCTCAGTTTCAAGACCCACCATCACCATTAGCTTGTTACCCAGACATCACCTGAACACACATTATGCACTAATGAAACCAAACATTAATGCAAAAAGCTAGGCAGTCTGAAAAATACAAGCTCTCTTTTGGGAAAGAACTCTTCAAAGTAATGGTAAATAAAAGGAGGGAGGGGGAAGTACATTAAATTTCAGTGTCATTGAAGGTTATGGGCTTGGTTAAGGCTTAGAGTGGGGGGTTCATATTATTGACTAAGGCAGCAGTGAACAAGCCTTGCTGTGAAGGAACATGAAGCACATGGTATGGAGAGAGCTTTTACTATTAGCCAAGCCGACAGTGTATAAAAAAAAACAGTGTTGGCACAGCACTCTACAGTAGTACTTCTGCTACTGTGAACAAAAGCTGATATTCTGACATTTCAGGGCATCACACTTATTAAACAAAATTGTGAATTTTCTTAATACTTTTTCCAACACATTAATACATGCTGAAAGTTTCGAACAGCATTCGTGCCTGCTAAATACATGATTATGTTTCTCTTAGTTGAGAGCATGCAATTTGGATGACGTACAAAATTCAAGTAGTGTAATAAATCAGGATGAACCACCAAAATAATTTCCTTATACTTTCATCTGGAAATAATGCAAATTTGGTGGAAGCTGTCAAAATGTTGCAACTTTTTACTCTCCATTGCCACATTTGCACTTGCCGACTACCCACATAACTGCATGAGGAAACTATGCCCAAATTGTTATTTTTATCTAAACAAAAACGTAATACAAAGAAAACAGTTTAACAACAGCCAGTTTAACACATTTCTACAGCTTCTAATAGGAATCAAGAACAGCAAACATTTTCAACAGCAGTCAAATCAAACTGTTTAATCTAATTTTCCTGTTATTACTCTAAGAGGGGTCCAGCTACTTGCCTGAATCAAAGCAGTCAACAGTAAACATTTAAAAGCTCCCTGAAAAGCTGTAATTTGTGATGGCTTTTGGTAAGGATGGGGAAAAAAAAAAAAAGTATTGTTGAAAAATGCCTGCTACAAACTCTGGAGTTCATCTTTCACAGATTGCTTTTAAATACAAAACAGGCTGAAGATGACAAGTTTGAACAATCTCCTGTTATAGCCTGTTTAAAAGCAATGCCAATGCCAAACATTTCATGCATTAAAAAAAAAAAAAAAATCTCATTTTTCGCCTTAATAGTAAAGAGCACCATAACAGAATGGTTACCTGCTAAGGGGGGGGGAGGGGGGAAGGAAATCACATAAGGAAAAAGAAGTTACTATTTCTAAGCATTGTGATGAAAAGTAAATTCTAGTTAGCATTTACTAAAAAAAGGTGATTATTGGCTATAGTGTTTTAATCTTCACACAGCAGGCCTTCCAAAATGTAATGAAGTCTCAAGGACTTCCCGTATTAGACTCCAATATTTGCTTTAGTTAATTTGGGAGGTGGGGGGAAAGTGTATTTTTCTGTAGCAGTTCCTCAAAAGGACTGGCATTAGCCCACCATTGGGCCTGCATTATCCTCAGTGGGTTAAAAAAAACAAATATAATTCAAAATATTTGGCATTTTACAGTCGGGAGTGTAATGTTTTAAGCACTAAAAGAACTCCATCAGGAATTAGAGGACTAATAAATACATTTTAAAGAATCAGTTCAATTAAGTACTGCTATGCCATACCTATAACTATGAGATGCAAGCAAACAGCCTAAGAAGTAAAACTGTTGTAAGGCATATATGCACATTAATTTAAAATTCAAAACCAATTCACTTACAGCTATCCAGTATGAGATATTCATCAGATGTTGGCACAGGACAAAGTTTGGTGGATTTTTTTTTTTTTATAAACTGTTTTATATTTAAGCTGGGCCACAGAATCCAAGTTTAAATAGAGAAGTTCAGAATGCTAGTTCATTGTACAAACACAAGTCAAGATTTGGCATAGGAATTCCCTTAAGGAGAGCAAAAAACAATTCCCGCCTTTACAATTTTGCAATTATGTAGCCCAAACTCGCAACTTTTTTTTTTTTTAACTGGTAAGATGCACGAGAAAAGAAAGCACTGACCTACTCCAGTCTTTGCATTCTACTTGTAATCTGCAGGTGACCTTACACTACATTTTTACCAACAGATAGTAAATTGGGCAAGATGGTAAACAGGAGGTGAACTGTAAGCTAGGCAAGTCTACAGAATTTAAGAGCTAGTGAAACCACATTTGGTTCAACAGGAGAATATTTTTCTATTGCATTCCCACGAGTGTTGTCATATAATGCTATGATGCGGGTCTTTTTCTGTTCTTTAATCTCACATTAGACATCTAAAACACTATTTCACACCATTTTAAAAGCAGCATGTAGTCTATGTGATAACAAGACTTTATAGAAGATTTTTTGTTACGCTGAACTGATGATTAAAAAGAAAAAACTTTAAAACTTTATTACAAGCATATCTTCAACTAGGAAAAGTAAAGTGCGGGCAGCAAGTGTCTCACAGAAACAAGCAGCACACAAGATTCTACAACCTATATTTATGAAGTGCTTGTGAAATCTATAAATAAACATGGTTTAGAGTCTGGCACATAGTACACCTCTTACTACAGAAAAATCAGTGGTTTGCAAGGTAGGATACTTCAAACTTTTATTGTAAACAAGCATTCAAATAATGCTGTTCAGTTCACAACTACCTAAATCAAGCTAATTTAACTGCAAATATGATTCTCTTTGCAGACACTGTTCTTTTTTAAGATAGAGCACTGTTCTGCCTTATCTTGGAAACAACTTCAGAATCCCATCTCAAGTTTAAGCCTGTCCACAGTGACTGTGACTGCAGCGTCATTCTTGCCAAGACTTGAACCTAAAGACCCTCTCGTTTTCAGTCAGCACCAAACACAATTAATTAAGTAAAAATGGTCACAATTTTCATGATATGCAAAGCTTTCTAAATGCATCTCCAAGTGCATTTAAAGAAACATTTTCTTAATTTCTGAAAAACATGGTTAGCCTATTATTGAAGCGTCTAATGTAAGTTATAGTCAAGCTACAGTAAGACAATATTTTAAATGCCATATTAAAAAGGGTCTTAAAAATAAAAATCCAAAGTACACATTTCCTTTTTGGGAAAATCCATAAACATTAAGTGGAACAAACAGTGAGACCAGCTCATCTGGTATTTTACATGAATTTTACATCAAGTCAATAAAAGCTACAAAGATAGCTGCAATCTATAATCAAAAGGCTTATTGTGACTGTTTCCCTACAGAAAAGAAAAAAATCACCTTTTAAATATAGTGTAACAAGATGGATATTTCAGGCACAGCTGTGAGGTCCACTCCCATTTGTTATTTATTAAAAGCATAATGAGAACAGTAAATTATTTATCCTTCTTTGCTCACTAGGTAACATTAACCAAGCACAGCAGATGAATGACTGCCAAGACACAAATATAGAAGGCCCAACTTTAACCCTTCCCAGAACTCATTAAAAAGATTTGTAACAAAAACAACAATAAAAACATTAAAGCAGCAAGACCTTAGGTTTTGCCCTACATTTTACCAAGGCATACAAATATTTGAACAGATGGTAGGTGCCAATACATGCTTCTAGACTGAATAACCGAATAACCTTGCATCTGCTTCAAAAGAGAAGATGGTAATTTCACAGTTATGGCAAGTCTGTGGAAGATTAATTATTTTTGCTATCTAGATGACCGTTTTTGATATTTCTAATATTTTTGATATTAAGAACATGCTTACAAATGAACACAGCCGTCAAAACAACCAATATAAAGCTTGTTACACTATCTGCAAACAGAACAGACAACGCTCTCAAACCGATGATACCACTGTTGCTTTTTGTCAGCAAGACGAGCATCGAGGGTATCATTAAGGCTTTGGCCATTCGGTGTTCTCCTGCTTCCAGAGCCCTGCGACTCTCGGGGAACTAGTGGAGCATCAGCACTCAGGCAGCACAAATTTCTGCACCGCTCATCACTTGCAATCAACTCATAACCAGAATTTCCTTTCCGAGAGTCACTCTGTCACATTACGAAATTCAGGGTAACTGAAACCCCCGCTGCTTAACTACTATAGCTTACAAGACTACGTACCGGCGACCAGGTATTATCCTCAATATTGCTCTAAGATCTTAACGCAACCAGTAACGCTACCGGCGAGCACAGCTCCACAGTCCCACGAAACAAAACTCCCCTCCGACCCCCAACCCGCTGCCTTCGGCACCCGTCGACACCGCCGCCCCGGGCCTAGACGGAGTGGGGCGAAGTTCGTGGACCTACCGAGTGGCCCTGCCTTGCCCTGCCGCTCCCCCGCGCCTCCCTCCCCACCGGCCGAGAGATCTGTAGCACCGGCTTAGCTTCCTCTCCGCACTTCAGCCACTCCTGCCCGGCCGCCCCTCCCCACGGGCCCCAAACCGCCTCCCGCCCGCCACCGCCGCGCAGGCAGCTCTGAGAGAAGGACGGCTGCTCCGAGCCACCGGCCCCGGCGTGCAACTACAGCTCTTTGTCCAACGCTGCCGGGAGCTCTCCCGGGGCAGGTGCGCCTGACACCATCCAGGGTGACCCCGAGAACTACTGCGCAGCTCTGCCTTCGACGGCGGCTGGCTCTGGGTCCAAGCGCACCCGCGCCGCCGGCTGCCCCCGCCGCAGGCACGCAAGCCCCGACGGAGCCCGTGCCAGCGGCTTCTTCCCGCCGGGGACGGCCACAGCGGCACAGCCCGGGCCGCCCGCTGACCCCGCGCTCTTCCGAGGGGCACCCCCAGCCCCCACAGGAGACGTGCGACGGGGAAGCCCGGCCATCGCACCACGGCAAGCGGCAGCCCTCCCAGGCGTCGCTGACTCCTCCCGCCCGGGCACAGACTCCCGGCAGCGCGGCGCCAGGCAGGTGCAGCAGCGCCAGCGGGGACCCGCAGCCCGGCCGGCCGCCCCCGTCCCGCCCGGCGGGCTCTGCCGCTCAGCCCCGCCGCCACATACCTGCCGTGCCCCGGGAGAGCGGCCGCCGCCGCACCGCGTCCCCTCACACAACCTGGGGGGGCGGGGCTGGGCGCCAGCAGCCGCGCATGCGCACCATCCGCAGCGGGGTGCGGGGGCAGGTGTGTGCGACCCCGCAACCGCCACTGCCCCCTAGCGGGGTGGGGGGTAACTGACCCCGCGGTACGCCGTCCTAGCCCTGGAGCCGGGGCAAAGCTGGTCAGAGCAGCGTCCCTGCATGCCCTCCTCCACCCGTGACACAGAGCACTGGGGAGGGAGATGTTCGGGAAGGCTTTTCCTCCACGCTCCTCAGAGTCATCAGGCGGTCGGCGTTTCAGGAGCCAGGAGGTCTGGCCAGAGACTGAGGAAAAGCAAGAACGTTGCACGGCCAGGATGGATCGGGGCAGCCTCCATCCCTTCTCTGCCGGTGGTGCCAGAGCAGCCCACAGCAAACGCTGTCCATGAAATCCTGTCAGATCAACTAAACTAAATACTGATAATTCAATGCTGTTTCCTTAGGGCCTGGCTGGAAAGGTACCAGAGTCACAGGTGACACAGAAGAGGGCACAAGTGCAATCAGGCACTACGTTTCACAAGAAAGGAGGGAGCAAATGGACAGCCTGCAAACACGTCATGACATCAGGAGACATCGGCTAAAATTTCTGTGCCTCCACTGAAAGAGTGTTAGCTAAAACACCGCTTCTGTTCAAGGGCGGGCAAGGACAGAGCTGTTAAAATTGAACATTTTGTTGCTGTGATAAACACAAGGATGTTAATAATTCTGTATTTAATGGCACACGGTAACAAAGGCACAGGCTTACACGATTAAAAATGAGAAAATGCAATATATGACAGTTCATTATCCACTGATTTTCATTCACAGGGCACACAGTGCTCCAAATCAGGTTCTAAGCCTGCCTAATGTATGTAATAATTAAAGACTGAACTGTAATTTATATACAGGAGACTTGTGAAATAAGGCCACATAAAGTGCAAAAATAGAGCTCACCTGCTAAAAAGATGTGGGCTTCCAGCTCTACTAGTTTGTCTGATAGACATTACTACTACCTCTCATCTTGGCTTGCCTATGCCCTTAAACTGTCATTATTGCCACCCTGACACAAGCCGGGTAGCTGGGACAATCTTCCTCCCTTTCAGAGGTTAACAACGAGCCTTTATTTTTTTTTTCCATTAGAAGTCTGGTCTTTACTGTTCAGTGTTTCCTGTGTTTTTAAAAACAGTAGGCAAAATGTTGGAAAGCTGCTATAAACAGGTCTACATTTTACCACTGCTGATTATTGTGGCAAAAAAATATGCTTCCAATGACAGCTGTATTGGTTGGACGATGTACTTGCCTTGCTAGTTTCAGCTGAAGTGAGCCACGAACTGCAGTGGTAAGGAGCTTTAGCAAAAAAAAAAGAAAACTGATGTAAACAAGATCTCCTACCATTCAACAGTCAAGGAATCTAGGCCACATTCCAGTCAATAATGGAAACGTTAATTATCTTGACAGGTTTCCACTGAATGTGAACGAATCCCGTTTGGCCAGTAATACAGGACATAGCCATAGACAAATAAAGTTCACTGTGGCACATTCACACAGCATTCGCTAAGCAAGAAGTTCACTGGGGGAAAAATAATACAACAAAGAGATGTCAAAAGGCAAATGTATCAATGCCATTCATCATTAAGTAAATATATTAACTGTAAATACTAAGACCTTCTAAATTCCTTTTGAGTATGTAAAACTACACTCGACTACAAGAGGGCTCAGTGATTCGGAGAAAACTCCGGGCACAAACTCGCCAACAGAGTTTCAAGTTGACAAGCAGGTATTCTTTATTGCGGCGCCGGGAGACGCGGGGGATAGCTCCTCCTAACGTGCGTCCCCGAATTGCTATACAGGTCATCCTTATATGGTCACTGAGCATATTTTATCATTTTCCAAAAAGTTTCCGGCATGCATACAGAAATGTGGTGGTCTTTAAGGGTCGTTTACTTTTCCCAACAAGCTTAATTAACATTACAGACATAGCAATCATCCCGGCCTTCTACTTATCAGTTCGTTTAACCGCTCTCATCCTGGACATCTGCTAGTCCGGGATACTTCCTAGTAGATGCTTACACCAGCTTAATGGGTTTATTAACACCTCAAGCATAGCAATCATCCTGTCCTTTTACTTATGAGTTAGTTTATCTGTGCCCACCCTGGACATCTGCTAGTCCCAGATACTCCCCATCCCCAGGTCCTGTCCTTCTATTCTGCTTTTCTCACACCTTTTGTACTGAGGTCCTGAGGGCCTGAAACTATGTCAACTACCTTCAAGCACCGCAGTTATTTTCCATTAAAAAGCCATCAAACTTAACATTACTTAGAACTGATTACATTTTGTACTTTTGTGCCTCCTTGTCTCAAATCCCCCCTTTTTCTGTCCTTTTGGAAATTCTTTTGCAACATTTTATATACATATTACCATGCCTCCTTGTCTCATCAGGCAGCAAAAAATGGCTACAGAAAATCACCATCTACAGCTTTTCTGAAAACAGTTTGAAAACCTTTGAAATTATTTAATTTGCTAATACTGATATGCACTAGAACCCAAGCAGTGCTCTCAGAACACAGGTTTGCCAAATTAAAAGGTTCATCAGAAAGGTCGTTAAAAACATGATTGCAAAAGAGACATGCCAAGTGGAGTCAGAAGTTGAAAACAATGCGTTAAAACATAGTAAACTGATAAAAGTCTATAATTAGGATCTGTAATCCTATAGGTCTTAATCCTGTACAATGACTGTATTTAGCATGAGTCTGCTGTCTTAACCAGATTAAACATCTTGCATTTCAAGAAATAAAAGCTACAGAGTTCAAATACATTTGATTATGCTAAAATTAATCACCAACAGATTTATTTTGTCAAAGTACTCCTGTATTTTGTTGTACGTAATACTTTAAAAAGTCAGGCAGTAACAAACCACAAAAAATATAATTTACACGCTTAAAGTTAAAAATTGAAACAATCTGGATTAAATTTGGAGACAAATGAAAAGCATTTTTTTTTTCATTAATCTGTTTTAAAGGAGTACTTTTACCCATCCTTTGGTTCCTTCCTGAGCTGCACACGAGTGTCAAAGCAGGGCTGTTCCTCCAGGCATCACCAGCTGGAAGCCTAGGATAATCCCATCAGTGAGGGCACAGTCAAGAGCAGGGCTAAGGTGGTGATAGTAACAGACTTAGTCATATACCTAGTGACCATCACACAAGGTGACATGTCAAATCAAGTCCAGGATCCACCCAGGAAGCCTTACCAGGAAGTCTTTTACCAGGAAGAGTAAGAGACAGAACTAGACAGCTATATGTAGAGCTACACCTATAATGTAGGCCTGAGGCTCCTCCAAGGAAGGAGCAAACAAGACAGACTTATCCAAGATAAAGCACAGCCAAAACCTGGTGGCCTGGGCCTGAGCTTAAATGGAGGCCTGGAGTCCCTGCCCACAATGGGAAGATGCTGGCTGAGTAGGGGCTCCAGATGAGGCTAATCAGGATGATTAAGGCCTTTTAGTGCCCTCAGGTCCGTGGCAACCAGGAAAACTGGAAGTCCTTTTAGAAATATAACCATGAATCACTGTTGTTCTAAGTGAAACACTGTTGCCAGTGGAAAATGCTATGCAATTTGCAGCTTTGGTGGAATAATATACGCCATGGGTGTTGTCTCTGGTTACATAGATGTAATCTGAAAGAAGCATTCAACGAAACAGCACAATGTACAAAATCTGGAGTATGGACTTTGCTGAAACCACATTTTTTTCTAATGGACATTAGTATTTGCTGCTCTCATCAAATCTATTCACTCAGTTGGTTCAATCAGTTTATCTGTTCCTTTTGAACTCCTTGGTGTGGTTAAATGCCCCAGATCAGAAATTCCCATTCTGTAGCTAGTTAGAAAGGCGGACGGGTACCTTGGCACAGACTTGGTTCCAGTAATCTGTGTACTAACAACTGGTAGTCTCACTCGCGTAGCTTCTCTCCAGTCATACTTGTGCAAAATGTGGTAAACACCATTGCGAATAGTTCCTGCACTGCACAGAGTCCCTCTGAACTGCATCTCTCTTGGCCCAGGTCTTCTGTTGCATTTGAGCCACCCAAGAGAAAGTCTTCTAGTGAGGCTGCTAATAGTTACAATCCACTGGACCTAGGAATACTGCTTCAGGGAGTATAAAGCACAACAGACAAGTGTTTTGGAGAAGGTAGCCCCAGACTATTAGTAGGCTTCTCTGTTGAAGGCAAGAATGGCTGCAGGACTTGAAAGAAACTAAGTACATCATTTTTCTTTGATCTGAATTTAACTAAAGTTTCTTATCTATATACAAACACAAATGCCAACAGCTAATCAAATTTTTCCTCCTACAGGTTGAGAGAAATAAAAGAATGAGATAGTTGTTCTCTTTATAGTAGACACTCAAACGTGTGGTGGGGGAGGATATCTCAACAATTTCATGGGCAAATAAAGCAGGCAAATGTTGAATTCTTATTTTCTACTTCCCTATGATACTTCCTACAAGTTTCTTTCATTGTGGGTTTTTTTTTCCTTTTTAATACTGGGTAAGCTGTAATTATTAAATCTACCCTCTAAAATAAACACAAAATAATAACAAATAGGCAGGATCGATGTTAACTGATCTTGAAACTCTTTCTCAAAACTTCCAGTGATGGAAGACAGCACAGCCTCCCTTACTGGTGCATTCCAGTGCCAAACTAACCTTGGAGTCAGAAATGCTTTCCAAAGTCTAACCTTATCTCCTTTGTTGCAGTGGAGGACAAGAGGTAATGAGCTTATCTCAGTGGATGCAGGAAGCAGCAATTTTCAGGGTGTTTGATGGCATCATCTATGCCCTCAATTTTGCCAAAGAATAAACACAGTTATTTTAATCTTTCCTCACAGGTGATGGGTTTTAAACCCCCAGTTGTTTTTTATTATTCTCTCTGAGCTTCCTCCTTCGGGTCCTCATCTCCTCATTGTAGGAGAACAATGCTCAAGTCCAGGCACAGCACTCCAGCTACGGTCTGAACAGCACTGCCTTTAACATATCACACACCT